ATTAGGAATTGTTCGAATTTTTATTATATTCCTAATAAGGATGATAACAAGGATGTTTCAAGTCATCGCCAAATAAGTACATACATAGCAACCTGTAAATGTTTGCAAAACCAAAAATAGGTTCCTCGTGTTGTCGGCTATACAGGAGACAAAGAAAAAATATTTTATTACAATTGCGTGACTAATCTTCCTTAAAATAATAATTGGTCTGATGATCTGACTGATGATCCGCAATGTCATTTAAGGTGAAATTATTCTGACAATGTCAATTGAATCCACATGAACTCTCGCGTGAGTCCCGCTGTGTTAAATATTCTGTTTGCCACAAGTCGCTTTGACGTCCATCGTGACGCGTGTCGACCAAAACCGCACTCGTTTTATTTTAATTTTAGAACCTTTTTTGTTTTTGTGGCTTGGACTATGACTTTATAATAATCGAGTTTTTGAATCGTCTACACCTTGCGAAGCTGCGCGCATGCATTATACTAACTTGTATGAGTTGAGCATCATATTATTATCATTGCCATTAGTGAATGCACGACATCTAGCGGGCGGGTTGCCAGCGGCTCCTGACGTACCCTAAGATTCGATTTTTTAATTGGGAAAAATTCTATTAAAATAAGTCTTTATAGCGCAATCTTTGAAGTTGTGCCCGAGATTTGCTAATAGGTTCCAAATTATATAACAACGTAACTGACAAAGAGTGGATGTAATTGTAATTTAAGTGTACTCCATATAACTCTTAGAAACATAGCAACTTTGCTATAATTATTATACTAAGTAATGATATAAGGGTCATCTCACGAAGTTACGCCTGTCCCATGACGATAGGCAGAGACAATGGAATGACAATTGCCACGATTATCTCTTTCCCTTCTTTCACATTAATTAATGTGTTCGTAGGTGGTATACGGTCACTGCTTATGACCCACAAGACACATCAAAATACCTAATCGTCATTATCACTTAGGATTTTTATTAAATTCAATGTTTTGTGGAAGAAACGAACCTGTAAGGCGAATTACGTAAAAAAAAATATTTTTTTTGTTAAAATCTTTTTCTGTTTCTACTTATCGGAAAAGGTAGGTTTTAACAATTTTGTCGGTAATAGTTCAAATCCGCATTGGTTAATTCCGCGTATCTCACAAATGTAACTAATTCAAGTTGTCGTGGAAAAATCCCGCAAAATCTAAATTGGCTTCCACTGCCTTGACTTGACTTCATTTTGACTCAATTTTATTAGGTATGTAAAAATTAGCTTCAAATTAATTGTATAATTTATAAAGTTATTCAGTTTTAACCTTCCCCTTTAAAACTGCGTCTACTGCGGATACGTGGCCTTTACGTATAGTAGATACATTCGCGGATTTACACTATCTCCGAAGATTTGTCATCGTCAGTATAGCAAGAACTACATGAATAACTCTTGTAAATGATAACTAACTAATGATAATTAAGTTGGCACTATAGCCTAATGTAAGTAAAGTTACCTAAGTATAAGTCTTTAAATGAAAACCCTCCCATGCACCACAAACAACGTTTTCTTAAAATAACATATCTTTGAGGTAAACACTCAAAAAAGCACAATTTTCACGCCCCAACACATCCTGAGCCCACAACAATCAAAAATATCAAAACACAAACAAATATTATGATTTTATTTCTCTGGAAGCTTCGGTGAGGCTCGTTCTCTTTCACAGTACCCTCTATCTAAAGTAGATCGCACCCTCGTCATCGCATGACACCCTGGTACCCGGGTGGCGCCACGATAGATAATTATTGTTTTTGTACCCACTTTATGCGGTTCTAAGGTCCTTTTTGCTGTTAGAGGTGACCGCCTTTGACCTGCTACTATGTTACTTATGATTATAACTAGTATTTGTGTGATCCAATCTACAGGTCGTTCATGTCGTATGATTTTAGTTTAATGGGGTCAACCTTGGTCACCGTCCTCTGTATTGAAATGTAGACAATTATTTAGGATCTGGATTAACCAAAGCCTTTTTAGTATTTCAATTCCAAAGTTTTATTAAATAGCAAAAAAGTTCACATTCTGATTTCTTGTGAACCTAAATATCAATGTTATATAACCTCTGCCAATACTTTGAAAAAATGTAGACAATACAAGAAGATTGACCTAAACTATAACTTTTCAAGTTACAGTTACGACTTGAAGTTAATAACAATAACTTCTAACTTGAAAAGTAAGACCTAGCGATCCACAAAAATACTCGCAGCAATAAAACAGAACGGGGAAAACAATAAAAAGGGACCAAAAATAACAACATCATTTGTAACTTCCCGGCTTTTATTCTGTAGAAGAATGTTTTATCTAGTTTTATAACAAACATCGACACTCATAAAATGCCACAGTTTGGTGATCACCGTGCAAATAAAACGGTTATTGCGGTGATAATGTAACGGCTTGTGAGCTAGGATTGTTATTATGTTTCATACTAAGCACTGAATATTATGCTAACTATAGGCTACCTGAATGACGGCTATCCACTTTTGGTATGAAACCAATATAGTAAGATATATCGTGTAGAAGGGACCAATAAGTAGAACAAAGCTAATTAATTGTGCAAATTCGTAGAAGTTCAATGATACCTAAGTATCTCCATGGGACTTCGAATGTGGAATACAAATATAATTCTCATAATAAAACCACGAAATGGTAGTACTTCGTTAGATATAACTCTGTCTTAGAAAAGAAAAGCCGTCGCCCTCTCTCAAAATCCTTTGTAATTAAATGATTTCCTACAACCTGAAATAAATTTTATTTAAGATAACTGTAATTGTTATAACACAGCTCAATTACCTATTAGGCAAGGAAGACCTACAATTAGCAATTATACTAAAAGGGCTGAGAGAGATCAAGAATTACCTGTAATACTAGATATAATTGCGTCTAGTCTAGCCTGTAAGGTCACCCAAGATCTAGGTCTGAGGACAATAAATTATATTTTGATGTCACTAAGTGTCACCTTTCGTTGAAATTGTGACAATAGTAATATTCTATTTTGTTTTTGTACTGTTTAATAATAAAACAGAGAAAGCAATAAAATCGAAGTAATAAAGCACTCGAGAAAGATCAAAGGATAACAATTTATTGTACTAGGTTAATATAGGAACGTTGCTAGCAAATATAAGTGGTGTAAACAAGATGAAAATGAAGAAAACAGACAATGGGTATATAAAAGTCTGAAACACGTTGGTGGAAATCAGTTTTAAATAAAAATATTTCTGTTGCCTTAACCTTGTACTAAAACTCATTGTAGAGGTAGATACTGGAACCAAACTTAAAAAAACTATTTTAAATAATCTTACTTAAAAAGTACGCAATTTACCTACAATACAAACAATAGTCTTCTACTACTCCGTTTTAGACATCGAACAATGTGCAATGATTTCAATCTCAAGATAGTTAAACCTCCAAAATCTCCCAAGTTCAAGTTTCAAGGGCCCTTATCTTTTCTTCAAGGGAACTGCTTATCTTTTGGTCTTATCTATTAACGATATCACGCTGACTTTGGAGCTCAAAGATGGGGTAATTGCAGAAAATGCTGACACAGGTCAAGATTTTGTTGATAGGCAGCGCTTACAACACCTGGCCTCTACCGATATACCTACTCTATATTGCAAAGATTAGAGAATGACACTGTTTTTATCTAACATCTGACCTTTTTCACATCGGAAAAGGTCTAGTTTTCCTTTCTTATCCTTTGATGCGTAACCATGGCCGTCACCATTTAATGATGTAGATAACATTACATGTGTCTAAGTAGTAATGTTTCTGTTTTGTGGTTATAACATAATACAGCAACACTGCTACACACATAACAACAAATTTACCCAACACACCACAATAAACCGGCCAGCATAACAACCAGATAATGAAGAGCAAAGTCAAAACTTCCAGAAAATGATAGAAAACAGGAATATAACGTAAATATAAAAATTGTTAAGGCTGTCTTTGTTACAGATCTTGTATAATCTCACTTGTTTGTGTTTACATGTTTCACAGCTCACCCATTAATTGAAAGCAAACAAACCGAATGATATCGTTAAATCCTCACCCGAAGCGAGAATTTTCTATTGGAAGCGACCTTTTTGCTGTACCTACTATAAATATTATTTCTTTTATCTTGTTGGTTATTCGATTATCTAACAATCATAATAATAAGTGAAACTCGTGGATAATAAGTTGGTTTTGAAAATTATTACAAAAAAGAAGAATCAAGTAGGATGTTTAAAAACGATCAAAAAGAAAAGAAAATTTACCTAAATAAAAATAATGTATGAGTTACTATTGGCACTGTTGGAAACGCTTTAATTTATGAGCTCGGAAATGAAAATGGAAAGCATCTTATTTTTATTTATTACTAATTTAAAACTATAGGTAGGTAAATAATAAGCAAACTTTTCACCGAGCGGTACTAATGCATGTTAATAGTGGTATTACACAATTAAGCCAGCCATAGTAACGACTGATAACTGGGAAATTACTGTTAGGTATGGACGAAACAATGATGAAACATTGACTCAAATTGCAAATAAATATTGTGTGTAATACCACCCATACTATACTTTGATTACCTAAATATTATTGATAATCTAATTACAAACAATAACTTTATATCTATATCTGCATATCTTCATAATAATACCAACATACTTAGTCATAAAATGTGTCATGCTTATTTTAATTACAAGTCTGGATTGAAAAACCATTCCAATACAGATCTTCAACTTTCTTGACACCAGGAACTCAGGTCTCCTTAAAGAAATTTCAAATAAATTGAACTAATACAGTTATGAAATGTATTGTGCTTAATCATTTATTTGCTCACATTTCCCATAATTAGGGAAAATCACGAACTTTCCCGGATGACATCAATGTCATAAAAATTACATTTTATCTTAAGCTGTAGCAGTTTAATTAGATAACTTGCATTGTATACATACTAATTATATAAACAAGACCGTGAGAGACTCGGAGTCAGTATTACTCTAGTTACTGTGAAAACTCACCGATATTGCGTCCCAACAAAACTTTAAAATTTCATTAAAATCTAATTTCTGTAAAACAAAAAGTGAAAATAATTTGTTTATTATACCAGTTTTCTCGTAATCCATTAACTAATCAACATCATGTCAGCTTCAAAAGTTTGGTCCAAATTTTCCGTCAAAAAAGGTGGTGATACCATCAATCTACGTGTAGTGGATATGCCTGAAAATCTTAGTGATGAAGTCATGAATTTCTACCTTAATTATTTCACTAAGGAAGACGCTGCCTGCAAAGCAGCTGGTAAGTGTTATCTCAATAATAAGTAATAGATAAAATTTATTATTGCCAATGAGTTATCAAAAAAAATAACACTCCAGCTGTTACATCTCAGACCATCAGACCACCACGGATGGGGTCCAATAGGGCTGATATCGATACGGAGCCGCGGAGGACTTAACGGGTTACCGGGGCTCCGATTCGAAGGGCAGGAGTAGGAACGGGGTGGTTTTTAGTCAGTAAGAGTCTGACACTCCTCCCACCTCACTTAGGCGGGAGAAGTAATTCGATGATTTTCCCCCTTAGAAAAAAAGCTGTTACATCTTCAAAATGTTTCACTGTGATATATATGTCGTCTTCGAGTGAATAGGTTACTGGAGGCCCAATTACCCTCTCCTCAATTTCCTCAATCCCCAATAACCCTCAAATTCCTAATCCCCAAAAGACCAGTAACGTACTTGTAATGCCGCTGCTGTTTCATGTGTCCATGGAAGACGCCGATTGCTTACCATCAGAAGATCCATTTAATCGTTTTCGTTGTACCTATTTCGTTATACCCATAACTAGAAGGAAAGCCTATTGAACTAGGGTATAACAAAACTGCTTCATTTTAATAAAATATAATTTATTGTACAATTACACACCATGTACCTATTTGCTTGGTTCTGTAAATAAGAAGTATTAATTCGTTGTAGGAGTTTCAAAAAATCCAGAAGCAATTGAAGAATTGCGTGCTACCATGTTTGAATTTGCAAAAGAAAAAGGATTTCACGCTGTAATCTGCTGTTTGGATAACGGTGACGATCCAATCAAGGATTTTATTGGAGCGTCTATGATGGCGTTAGTGTCTAAGGAAGAACCTATGCCTGAGGTAAATTATTAGGAATGATGCTAAAAAAAGAACTTTGTCAAACAAAATTATACCATAATTTCAAATCTAATACACTCATGAATTAATCGTTGTTTGTACATTTTCAGTTTAAATTTAAAGCAGAAGAATTGAACAAAATGTTTGAATTATATTTCGGACTGGAAGCTTATTACGACGAAGCTAAAGAATTTGGTTTGGACAGTTACTTCAGTGACAGAGGACTATTCGTTCATCCTGAGTACAGAAACCTGAACATTGAGCAGGAGCTCCTTAAAGTCAGGTCTGTTTGCCTACACTAAATTATTATGTCATAACCGTCAATTCATTATAATCAGGGTTTTGGGACAGGGTCTAGACATAAACTAATTGGTCTACGGATTGTAAATCGACCAAAATCATAATCAGGTATTGTGTTTGACAGCATCAATACATTCAGTTTGGTCTCTGAAAGCATAATTAAGCCGAATAACATTTGTGTGTTTTGCTTACAATAAAATTGTGAGAGGGCTTTAATAAATTTACTATTACAAAGACAATACACCTTTATGACGTATCATGATCCTTTGATTGAGAATTTTGGTCACAGTTAAACCGTCCACTTTAAGGAAAGCAATTTTGTAAGAACCCAATTAAATTGTTCGCCAATAAAGTCCAACCCACCTTCGGAGTCGCGGAGAACCTAACGAGTACCTGGGGCTCCGGCTCGACGTGCAGGAGAAGGAACGGGATGGTTTTTAGTCAGTAAGAGTCTGACACTCCCTCCCGCCTCACCCAGGCGGGAGCAGTCATTTGATGATTTTCCCCCCTTAAAAAAAAAATCGAACCATCTGTACAGTCAATTGAATCAGGTTTGTGCCAAAAAGAAATTAAGCATTAATAAAGCAGCAAAGCATAAATAAGCATGAATAAAATATATAAAAGACTAGCGACACGCCCCAGCTTCGCACAGATGCAATATTATTATGCATGTATGTATATAAACCTTCCTTAAGAATCACTCTATTTAAAAAACGGCATCAAAATTTAGTCAGTAAGAGTCTGACACTCCCTCCCGCCTCACCCAGGCGGGAGCAGTCATTTGATGATTTTCCCCCCTTAAAAAAACCCACCAGTGAAGCCTTGTTTAGATTTTTCGTATCGCATTTTGTAAATCATTTTTATTTTTCCAGGCGTCTGATATCTAAAGAGCGAGGTATATCGTTGGTTGGAACTTGGTTAACTACTCAAGAACTGCAGAAAGCTGCTGAAAGTGATGGTTGGGAGACAGCGTGTGAGGTCAAATATGAAGAACTCGGTCAAAAATATGGAGTCAATTTCGATGCCGACACTGTTTCTTGCAAATATATGTTTGCTAGAACAAAATGAATTAAACAACGTCAAAATATTTAAAACAAAATGTTGTTGTTTGTCGAAATATTAAATAAATGTTATTTTCACAAAAAGTTTATGTTTTTTACTTTTGAAATAAAACCGAAAACAAATTGCCTAATTAATCCACGTGATGTAATATAAAATTAGACAATTGTAAACCAAATATTACTATCATCTTATAATGTAGGTAAAATGCTTAATAGGGCCCTAAATTCTAAATAAAATAAGACTTATTTTACAACTGACTGATAAGATTGTCAAGTTGCTAAAATTTGCTATGCGCACATCTTTAAGCGTCTGAATCCCAGTAGTAAATAGCTAAAATTACGTTTTGTAAAATTAAAAACATAGTCTATTTTACGACTAAAACGACACTGTATCTATAAAGATCATCATGCTTGAATCAATCCAAATGTGGTATAAATTCTTAGTGAATAGGAAAGATGGTGGTATTCAAAATTTATATAGAGGTATTATGAATAAGCCTAGAGTTTGCAGTGTACAATAAAAAGTTATAAATGTAATTATAAATCATTTTCTACGAGAAGAAAACACTTTTATTATAGAACTAGCGACCCGCCCCGGCTTCGCACGTGTGCAATATGTATATACATACAAACCTTCCTTAAGAATCACTCTATCTATTAAAAAAAACCGCATCAAAATCCGTTGCGTAGTTTTAAAGATCTAAGCATACATACGGACATACAGCGAAAGCGACTTTGTTTTATACTATGTATTGATTGACACACACGACTACACATTAAGTTATGCAGAACCAGTATAAACTGACCCTTAAATGTGCGGACAGATCACACAAAGCGAGACTATTATAAACTGGTCCCTTATAGCTGTATGTGTGATGTGCAGCATTATAGGAAACAGAAGCTTAAATAATAGTAGGTAACCTATGAAATTGCCGTTTCGAACGAAACAAATTAATGTTTGAACATAAATTTTGTTAATAATAATATGTTGTGTATATATGATTCATCACAAGCGATGTCTTGACAACAGACAACAAGTCGGATTAAGATAAAAAAAAGAAAAACCTTGTTTTACGTACCTAAATATATATATTATGCGTACGTAATATCTACAACAATATCATCAATACGTGAGACGTGCAAATAACTGATAAGATTGTCTGTTTACTTATAAATAGGTTTTAAAATTCAATAACAAATATATCAGTCGGTAGTCAATATTGTATATTTGTACGATTCACATCAGAAATATCGATTATTATATTAAAAAAACAATTAATTTAAATTATTCAACATGTCTGCGTCTCCCAAAGTGTGGTCTAAATTCTCAGCGAAGAGGAAAGATGGCAGTGTGCTAAAATTACGTATAATGGATATGCCCAGAGTTCCCAGTGTACAAGAAAAAGTTTTAGACTTACTTATGACATATTTCGTAACAGAGGAACACACTATTCTTGCAGCAGGTAAGTCGATCATCTGTTGTTATTATTTTGTACATGTCTTGTGGGATAGACGGCAAAAGAGTAGACGGATCACTTCATGGTGGTGCGTCAGCGCCGCTTACGAATATCCACAATACTACAAAAGTGTAACCGGCCTTTTTGGTTGTTGGAGATTTAAGGTAGAGCATATGGAAGCGAGCTGTTATGGAGGAGAAGGATTGGGTCTTTTCTGTGGTGCCCTGGTATTCCTCCGGTCGAACCGGCCCATTTCTGCTGAAGTTATTAATTTATTTTCTATTCGATCGTTTGATACCAAGAATATATTGTCATAATTTTCCGCAATCATAAATTTCACGTATCAAATGTGTTATCAATATCTTTATAAACATTCTATTTTATTATAGGAGTAGCAGATAGCGAAGAAGCTATGCAAGAAATGACTGCAATGCAAAATTATATGTTGACTATGGAGTCAATGCATATTGTCATCTGCTGCTCAGACACTGAAGACGATCAGATTGGTGATATTATGGGATGTTCAATGATGATGTTTACAAAAAAAGGAGACCCAAAACTAGAGGTAACTTTTTATAATTAAGATGTCCGTACATGCAATGAAGAAACAAATTGACAACAATAAACATAACATAATTTTAAGTGTGAGAGAGCCATGCTTCGGCACAAATTTAGTGTTCCGGTGATCCGTCTATTCGTTTACCAGCATCCCATAAAAAAAACAAAAATGTTACGATTCTTAATCTCCGAAGTGGTAGGTAAAGACACAATAACCTAGTTATGCTGTGCACCAGTATATATAATTATGCTAGCACCAGTTATGCTTTGTGTCCTTATAATAATATGTGAGCCTATTACCACACTCATACGGACATAATATACCTAGTACAAGATTTCTAAAAACTTTGTTAGTCGTCGTAGTTGCGACAAATGAAGCAATATTAAATTTATAATTTGCCATACTATAATTATTTATTAATTCATTTCAGGTGGAATTTAGAACGAAAGAACTGAAGAAACTTATGGAAATAGTCACAAATGGTTTCGGGGAAAGTTACGATGAAATGAAAGTGTTTGATTTAGATCTCTGCTTATACGCTAGGGGGATCAGTGTACACCCCAAATACAGAGGCCTTGGGATCGCGCAAGAATTTCTTAGAACCAGGTTAGTTTTTAATGGTAGTAATTTTTATCAAGTATAAAAACTTTATTTTAAAAAATAATACACTCTAATCCCCAAAATCCTCAATCCTTAAATCTGTACCTATAACATCACTGGTGTTACGCCTTACGGTCGCAGGTGATCTGCCTACTCGTATGCTGGCTTATACCATAAAAAATATACCTGTCAACCATTTTCTAGCATAATATATAAGATTTTATTTGTTATTTCCAGGCGACTTATTTGCAAGGAGTATGGTATACCCATTACCGGAGCCTGGATGACGGCAATCGGAACACAGAAGGCGGCAGAGCGTGACGGCTGGGAAACTGTCTGCGAGCTCCAACATGCAGACTTGGAGAAGAAGTTCAACGTGAAATACGCAAAAGATCCACCTTCTACTAAATTTATGATCGCCAGAATAGAACTGTGAAAAGTTTGCTTTGCTACCACAAACTGTACCTAATTCGTTACATAAGTGAATAATAATTTATTACATAATATAAAATTGATTTTTGTAATGTTTTATTCGTCGAATTTTGCATACATTTTATTTGATTTAAAAAAATGAAAACCGACATTATTTTTTATAGTTTCTTTAAGGTATAAACAAAAATAAAGGATTTTTTTTAATATTAGTACTTTATTTATTATAATTTTATTGCATGCAACAAAACTAAACTATTCAACGTGGTCTTTACCTAAACTATACACGTTTTGATTAGATTTTGACTATTTAAAGGTAATCGACATCATAACGATTCGATTGCGTCCAATCTGGGGATGCAGCTCATTTGCCGACGTATCCTCTAAAAATGTAACCCACAGGAAAGGCGGTTCTTGAGATGAAAATTTATAAATTCTACGTTAAAAAGTTAAAAAGGCAATAATGTAGATAGTAAAAGATCTACAGCTTACCTTTTCTGTGTTTTCTTTTTTTACATAACTAAGTTTGTTTTCTTCGAGATAATTTGCAACGATATTATGTTCTATACCATGTTCTAAACGTATCACCGAAATAAACTAATAACCTAAATCAAGAATTACTTAAATAGACTTTGTTGCTAATATAATAATTGAAATCTACATACGTAATTATTATATTTATTTATTAACGCAACGTCTTTGGACCACCTAACATTAAAGTGGTAAAACCCTACTTAGTACACAAATTACATTAATGCAATACACAAAAGTAGACTTAAAATAATCCATATTAATTATGAAAAACGATTCCATATTAAGTGATAAGATTGCGTGCTTATAAATTGGTATCAAAAATTCAGTAATATTTATACCACTGTAAATCACACAAGACAAATGCACATTGCATGCATAATTATAATAAAAAAAAAACAAAATCATTTTGAAAATACAATAACTAATCCAAATTGTTAAACATGTCAGTGGTTCTCAAAGAGTGGTCTAAATTCTCAGTGGCTGCAAAAGATGGCAGTATTCTCAATTTACGGACTGTCGAAATACTTTTGGATACAAGTGTGATGGACAAAATACTACAATGCTATCTTAAATATTTTGTAATCGAGGAGGCCAATTTTATTGCAGCAAGTAAGTTGATGAAGAATATTTTCATGTAAATGTGTTTTTCATAATACAGAAATGATTTTTTGTCAGTTCCACAACTTAGGAGGATGTTAGTAAAACAGCTTAGTTATGAATTATTATAATATTTTATGTCAAATTTCAATAAGATTGGTGGTTGAGTAGGTAAAGCGTTAAAAAACAGTATGATTAATTAATCCTTAGGGTTTCACGTCAGTCATCTGCGTTTGACGCTAGTGGAGGTTTGACTTTCACCATTTTAAAGTTGGTAGTTAAAGTATTAATTCTGTTGTTATGTTAGAGGTACCGGAGAGTGAAGAAGCCATGGACGAAATGGCACAAATTGTACAGAGCAGAAGTGTGCTAACTGACGACGAACCACATATTGTTGTTTGTTGTTTTGATAACGGAAATGATAAGAACATTGAAGTTTTAGGGGCATCGATAATGGCATTAGTAAGAAAAGATAATCCACAACCAGAGGTAAGCACAACACAGAATAATATCACTGAAACTTTATTAACTCGTCGAGTACCGGTTTTGTAGACACAATTATAGAACAATAGGTTGCGGTCACCGGTGACCGCTTGGTGTTTGACAGTTTAAAACGATCCAATAGCCTAGACAAGGAATGCAGGATTCAAATTGTTTCAAACCGGCTAATCAGAGAGTCTTTGGGGGAGGCCTATGCTCAGTAGAGGACGTCAAGTAGCTGGTATGATAAGGACAATGACGATGTACCTGTCAAATAAAATGTTGCGTCCTGGATCGGCTGGTTGTAAGCGTGACTGTTGGTTTTATAGGGTCTTCTATTTTTTAATTAATTACGTATTCATATTTTTGGACCCCAGGTGTGGCTTGAAAGTAGTCGTATTTTTACAGCTACATGAATAACA